TATTTTTATGAAATTTCTTACGAATTGAGTCTCCTACGAACGTGCATACCAATTTTTATAAGTTGATAATTTGATTGTGGATGATAAATTATTTAGAGATTTAATATTTGCAAGTAATTTCTTGTAAATTTGAATTCACATGTAATTTATTACAAATTTAAATATACATGTAATTTCTTTCCAATTTAGTATTTAAAAGTAATTTCATACGAATTTTAAATTTATAGATAATTTCATGCCAATTTAAAATTCACTAGTAATTTCTTACCAATTTCAAATTTATAGTAAATTTCTTGTCAATTTTATTTATAATTAACTTTTTTAGATTTGTTTCAAAAAGTTTTGTAGGAAATTTCAAATAAATTATAAATAATATATATATATATATATATATATATATATATATATATGATTGACAAAAATATTATTATTATATATTTTATTTAATTATATAATTAAATGAATGTAAAAAATGTTTTGCTTGCTTATTTAATTAAAAATGAAGACAAAAAACTATAACTAATCTCGTAAGGTAAAATATGAATAGATATGTAAATAGATTTTTTCCTCTAGAAAACTATAACTAATCTCTAGATTTTTTTTTTCTCGAGAAATTTCAGGCTTCTTGCATTAATAAAGTTATATAGCACAATGTATTGTATTAAGGTGGCCATGAACAATATATGTTTCCGATTCAATCATGGTTCAAAACAAATTCAACCATTTAAACCACAACCAGTTAAATCTAGTACATTTTAAAAGCATTATTCATATTCTTCCCTGCCAACCCTTTACACACATGGAACCAACACTTAAAACAAGAACAATTTCATCACCATCAGAATTATAAACTCCATCCCTTATACATGAATACTCATTTCCACCATTCATAACAAACAACTAAGAGCTAGTATATTTCTATATTGGATTGGAGATGAGTATCTTAACATAACTAGTGACACATTCTTCCTATCATTGTCCTTGAAATATGATAATTAAACTCTATATTATAATGAGCAAAATAAATAACACAAAAATTTCTCCAAATCCTATCTAGTAAATTCAACCATAAAACCCTGGATTATAAATTAGTTAATGAATGTTTCAGTCTAGGTTTAAACCTTTTCAATTTCAAAATCCTAAATTTCAAATACCGGTTGAATGTAACAAAATATATATATATATACACAAAAGATAAAACTAAATAATACCTCATCTCATCTCATTATATATATATATATATATATATATATATATATATATATATATATATATATAAATTCTAAAACGTAACAAAGATAAAAAAGAGTAGCTAACAAATCAACCTTGATTTTATCTCCAACACTCCTCCTCAAGATAAAGTTGTGTTTATATAAATAATCATAATTAATTCTCTTAAATTTTTTAAATCTTTCAACCTTTAATACTTTTGTAGGTATATCAGGGGTAGTAATTCAGATCTCTGCAGTGCTCTATCTCCAACTTGTCATTATTGACTTGTTCCCTTAAGAAATGAAATTTTGTCTCGATGTGTTTACTCCTTTCATGAGAAACTTGATGTCTTGTTAGGTCAATTACTTGTTTGTTATCTACAAGTAGCTTTATCTTGCATAGTTGTTTTACCTTTAATTCCTGCATTAATGATCCTAGTCATGTTGCTTCAGAAGCTACGATCTATTCAACTATTCAACTTCACATTATGATAAATTCATTATTAGTTCTTTTTCTAGAGCTCCATGAGATTGGTGCTCCTCCACACAAAAAAAAGAGAGTATCATGTACTGCTCTTCCTAACACTTTTGTCTCCACACCAATCTAAATATGAATATTCAATTTATAGCTTAGCATCAGAAGTTCCTTTTAGAAATAGAATACTGAACCTAGTTGTGCCTTGCAGGTACTTAGTATCCTTTTTGCAGGACTATTTTGGGTCTTGCATATACCTACTAATCAATTGTACACTGAAACTCAAGTAAGATCTTGTATTGCACAAGTATCAAGCTTCCAACGATCTTCCGATAAAGGGTGAGGTCCACCAATTCTTCATCTATTTTCTTTTCTAACTTCAGTCCGACTTCAACTGGTGTGCTTATTGAATTGCTCTGTTGCATGTTGAATCTACTCAACAAATTCTTTGTATACTTGGATTAATGCATGACAATACCATATTTTTTTATTTAATATATAATAGTTTAATGTATAAATTATAAGAGAATGCATCTATTCAAGTATCAAAATAAGAATTAAAAATTTACTCTTTATTATCATTATTTATTTGTTACTAATTTATTAACTTAAATAGTAATTAATCTTAGTAATTGGATCTTAGAATAAATGGTTGTTAGAGGCACTATTAGAAAAATGGTTAATAGTGACAAATTAGTGACCGAAAAATTCAATCATCGATAGTAACTAAATCGATGGTCGATTTTCCTTTTTATATTTAGTGACTAAAATTTCAAGTCATAGAAATCGGTCAACTGATTCAGTATTTACTCTTAGAATAATTGAATCCTTATTAAATTAATCTATAATACATATATAATTTTAATAAAATAATATTAGTTTTATTTTTATTTAAAAAATTATTATTATTTTATAAAATGGGTCGACCCTTAAACTTACGGGCTAGGTTGACCTAAACTCATGACTATTTTGGCCTTGTCTACATGGGCTTAGCCCAGGTTAAAATAAGTCTGATTTAATTTAGGTCACCATTTTTTTTTACAACCTATCTTATTTATCAAGTATTATAAGTTGATCAATCGGATTAAGTCTATTTTGACACCTTTATTTTACATTTTTCAAGATTATGTTATGATTGAAAATTTTATCTAAAGAATTGGGGATGTATTTCAAGATCCTCTTAAGGTGTTACCATATATAAAAAAAATAGAATGCCAAATTGATTTTATTCATAGATTATCTCTATTGAATAGGTCAATTTATAAGACTAATAGACAAGTATGATGATCTTAATGATGATCTTACATGTATTTCATGCGTATCTTACAGGGAGTTTTAAAAAATTTTGCGAATTAACTTGGGTTATAGGTGTAGTTTTGCTTGTATTAACTACATCTTTTGTTAGGAATCAAAGTAACTGCATAAGAACTCAACTAAAATAAAAAATGAGAAAAGAGAAACAAAATCGACAATAAACAATAATAAAATTTAACTACTGGAAGAAATTACAATACCCTTTTTAAATTTAAGGAGAAAACAATAATAATATTCTCTCTCAGAAATAAGAGAACTCAACTATTATGCAATACACTAGTAGAAAGGAGAAAGAAGAAATTTGGGATGATTTACAAGGTAGACATGGTGTTCCTTTTAGAATTCAAGTGTGTTTGAAGTCTCACATTGGGTAGAAATGAGAAAGTTGAGTAACTTATAAGTGAGAAAGACTCATAACCTAATGTTTTAAGGTTTTGGGTTGAAGGTGGTGTCATATTCTCTTATATGGTTGACTCATGTTCCATTTGTGAGAATCTCCCTATTGTTAGCCCCCTCGAAAAGATCCAACATCTTTTGTGTCCCTGGTTATTCCTTATCTTGAGATTAAATTGGCTATTAGGTAGTCAAAATTGTAACAGGTATGTATAGTAATAGAATCATCTTTGGTAGAGTTATTATGCAGAAGTTCCAATGTGGGTGAATCTATTTTAACTCATTTTTATATCTTTTGTGTCCCTGATTATTCTTTATCTTGAGATCAAATTGGCTATTGCGTAGTCAAAATTGTAAGAGGCATACCCGAAGTTATTCTAGTAATAGAATCATCTTTGGTAGAATTATTATGCAGAAGTTCCAATGTGTGTGTGAATCTATTTTAACTCATTTTTATAGTTTGTATATTTTTATATTACCACTTTTTTCTGTTGTATTTATGTCAATGCACTTTTGAATGATACATAAATAAAACATTCCTAGCTCTTTATAGTAAACATGGATCATAAATATTTGTAATCACAATAAATTTATTTCATTGCTACAAATATGGATTAATAAAAAAATCTATAATAAGAGTTTAATAAAAAAGGTTAACAAGCTAACATGAGTCCATCAAATTACTATAATCCCAAATAATGAAATATGGACAAATTGCCTTGATATTAATAACACCATAATTAAATATTAAATATATACCTAACTTGATTGATGAGCTAATGAATCTCACATATATTTTAAAATTGATTTGATACAAGAATTTTGTATGAAAATGATAATAATTTTTTCATCAGAAGCTAAACAAATATATTTTTAATTCCTTTTAAAAAATTAATAGACAAAAAATATAATATAAGTATTTTTAAAGTAAAAAGTTATTAATAGGACTTTTTATTATGAAAAGAAAAACATTTTTTTTTGAAAAATTATAATTTTTATTTCATGTTACCTATTAGAAATAAGAAAAAATAAAAATTAAGTTTAAAACGAAATAAAAAAAATAATATTATATATTTTTTATATTTTTAATTAAATAGACAATAATATTATAAACAAAATATTAATAATATATTCAAATATTATTATAAATATTTATTTATAATGGATCAAATTCAATTCTTTATATAAGAACTTTTTGATAAATGCGACTTTTTCAATCCATTTTCATTAAATGAATAAAAAAAATATTAATTAGGAGAGAATCAGTGTTCATTTATGTACACATACCATAGGTCATATTTATAAGTGATAACTAGTGACAAATCAACTAATAATTTTAATTTGAATGTTCAGGAACTCTATTCTTATCACTCTAGATATGTTTGATTGGTTTGCAAATTTTATTTTTATTTGAGTTATTATAAATTTTTTTAAAATCTTTCTAGAAACAAAAGTAATACAAGGACATACTATTTGAAAATATATAAAATCATTATATTCTTTAAAAGATTATTTCATCCAACAATTTCAATTGTAAAGGAAAAAGAAAAGGGAAAAAACATGTAGAAAAAGAACAAAAGGTGTGCGTGGAGAAGTGTGAGAGTTGGATGACATATAAACAAGAGCACAGTCACATAGATAGCGGTATACATGCCACGTTCTCTGCATGCAAGCAGCTCTTTTCCCTTTATAATGTCACCTGTACTCCTTCTAATACAAGCCACAAAAAAAAGTAAGCAAGGTTTCAAAATTATCCAAAATGCCAGGCCTTACCATCGGAGACACTATTCCTGACCTTGATCTTGAAACTACGCACGGCAGAATCAAGCTTCATCCGTTCTGTGCTGGTGGCTGGACCACCCTTTTCTCTCACCCAGGTTCTAAGTTCCTTCTAAACATTGTTCTCTCTGTATATATCAGTTCTTTTTCCTCTCATTTTAAGTTCTCTGTGTTGATGGTTTTGGTGGTTTCTTCTTATTGTTCACTCATCATGTTATAATCTGTAAATGTATATTTTAGGTGATTTTACACCTGTTTGTACCACTGAGCTTGGCAAGATGGCTCAGTATTCTAAAGAGTTTTATCAACGAGGAGTGAAGCTATTGGGTTTGTCCTGTGATGATCTGGAATCTCACAAAGAGTGGATCAAAGACATTGAAGCACACACTGTGAGTTTATTTATCACTTCTCTCACACAGATCAAGTTCAACCCTAATGTGTCTATGGCAACCAACATCAATAGATTATTATTGGTTTTACTTTTGCATGCAGCCAGATGCGAAGGTGGATTATCCAATCATTGCTGATTCCAAGAGAGAAATCATCAAGCAACTCAACATGGTTGACCCTGATGAGAAAGATTCATGTGGCAACCTACCCTCCAGGGCTCTTCATATTGTGGGTCCAGATCTGAAGGTGCCATTAGTCCTTTAACTAATTAAATTAACAAATTTTCATTTTTTTCTCTTTGGCTAACATGTTAATTAATTGATGGGTAATGAAGATCAAGTTGAGTTTTCTGTATCCTGCCACTACTGGGAGGAACATGGATGAGGTGCTGAGGGTGATAGAGTCATTGCAGAAGGCCTCACAATTCAAGGTTGCAACCCCAGCAAACTGGAAGCCAGGGGACCCTGTTGTGATTTCTCCTGGGGTCACCAATGAGCAAGCTAAGGAAATGTTCCCTCAAGGTTTCGAAACTGCTGATCTCCCATCAAAGAAGGAATATCTGCGTTTCACCAAAGTTTGATTTTGTCCTACGTACAAGGGCAAGACAATCTTCCTTAGTCATCTACCTCAATCAAATTATATATGCCCAGTTGAAGTACACTTTTTTGTTGCATGCACCGCTTGTTTTGCTATATATTAAAACTTTTGTTTGCTGTATCTTTTATTCAAGAATAAGTTTTATTTTTAACTATTTTGTTCAGCCTGTGTTAAATGACTTCTACTATGTAGAGAATCGGTAACTTGGCCATAAAAATTATCTCTGAGTCATAAGCATGACTTCCTTAGTAGTAATCAAGCCTGGTGAAGTGAAATGCAAAGATAAATACAGTTAGAAAAGCACACTTCATGAGGTGCAGATAACTTCTTAATTGAATTTGGCATTTTACCCTTTCTTGAAGTTGAAATGGGTTGTAGAAAACGTTGCCATCCATTCAATAATAAAAAGAGTAATAAAAAGAGAAATAAATGAAAAGAAAGAAAACATGAAATAAATAAAATGAAAACAAAAAATCAAATGAGTTCCTTTTGCAAACATTTACAGGACATAGACAGGAGAAATAAATAAAAAGAAAAAAAGGAGAAACAAATAAAATGAAAAAAAAAAAGTTTTGTTAAGGACACATTTTGACCAATACATAAATACATTTAATATCTACTTTAATTAATTATTTTAGACATTGGAAATTTATAAAAGGTAATTGTTTTTTATTAAAATATGAAGGATTTAAATATTAAAATTAAAACTTTAGATATGGAGAATTTAATTTTTTGAAGGGTAATTTATTATTTGAAGTGTGGAATATGGAATACATAGTGAAATTTATTTTAGTGGAGTATTTTAATTTAAAATGTTTGATTGGAATTGGGAAAGTAATTGAAAGTCTTAACGAATCATGTGATTTTGTTTTTATCTGGTGGCTGATCCAATCTCTCGTGTATTGGCCTGAATTTATTTTGTATTGGTGTGATAACTATTTTGATTTACATGTAATGTTTAATCTAATTATTCAAAAAAGTTTAATCTAATGATCCGATTCCTCTTCACCCAATTAATGTTAGCCCAAAGTATCTCTGTGTGCTTTATTTAGTTATAACCTCGACATCGTCCTATTGATCTAACCCGCAAATTTGGCAGGTCCACTGATTTATTTTAAAATAATATTTATATATTAAAATAAATAAAAATAATTATAATTAAAAATATTTTTTTTATATTATTATGATATCTAAATATATTTTAATATTATAATTTAAATTATAAAATTTATTAATTTAATTTTAATTATAATTAGTAATTATGATATATAAATATAATAATTTTTTTAATTTATCTAATAAAAATATTAATTAATAAATAAAAATTTAAAAATTATTTATGTTATTAAAGATATATTCTTTAAAAAAATATATAATTCATTATAGCGCACAGTTCTTACAACCCAATTTTGGCGGGAAAAAAGGATTAACCGTTTTCCCATCTTAGATTGATGGAATTTGATTTATTCCAATCCAAAATTGTTAAAATGAGATTTTTTTCTAAACTAATATTAAAAAAATAATTAATTATTCAAATAGACCCTTTCTTATTTTATTTATCAAATAAAGAGCCCAATAGACTTCTTTATTGTGCAAGGCAGAATTCCTGAAAAATTAAATTTCGAACATAAAAATGTCACGTGGAGACTAGAAATGTAATTAAAATTTGGTTTCGCGGAGCCGAATTATGAACTGTGTTTTGATTTTTTTTTTAAGGTGATTATTTAAATATATATATATATATATATATATATATATATATATATATATATTATATTTTTATATAGTTTTTTTTTCTATTTATATATATTTATATTAAGTTTAAAAAATATATATTTATATATAATTATATATATTTAATTAATATATATTTTGATATATTTTAATATTTATATAAATTTAATAAATATGGATTTAAATAATAAGATATATATATATAATATGTATATGTATTTATATAAATATACATTTTAATATATATATATATATATTTAATTAATTTATATATTTTGATATATTTTAATCTTTGTATACAATTAATAAATATTATATAATAAGATATTAAATAAATACATATTTATATAGTTATATATTTGTATATATTTTATAAATATATAGTCATATATTTCTATATTTAATTAATATATATTCATATTTTTATATTTTTTAGATATTTATAATTATGATATCAAATATTAAAAGATCATAGATTAATGGTACATAATTAAAACAATACATGTTAATATGAAATTTAATTAAAATAGAAATAATATAAAATAAATGGTAATTGAAGAACCATCTTGTAAATTGAGAGGCAAATGTGGACCTTGTTATTTCATGTTTGTCAATACTATCTTTTAAGTCACAAATCATTTCCTTAGGTGTTGTCAATCGTATAGTCTTAACTTAAATAAACAATTCAATATCTCCATGTTTGTTCACGTTGCACGATTGAGTGTAGAGATTGTATTTTTTTTTTCCAATGGTTGATCATTTGGGTCACATCAACATTAGTTTTAATCTGTGTTGAGTCGTGAATGATCTTTTGGTTTCGTACCCAAACTAGATTATGGTAGTTGATTTCAATAATTTTTTTGCCTCCATAATCAAGTACTTGAGTAATATTTTCATATAGTTCAACAAAAGACTTGAATAATTTTTTTATATAGTTCAGTAATGTTTCCATGATGGTTGCACGTTGGACAAGATCACCAAAGTAAATTATAGCTTCAGAGGAAGAAATTTTGTTTGGGTTTGCGGAAGAGGTAGAAACAGAGGGTTTAAAAGCATCAGTATTTCATTAGTGGATCTTTTATATTGAACATATAATTCAATAATAGTATCTAAAGGAAATTGTGACTTCTAAGTAATCATGTTAGATACATCAATATTAGAAAATATTCCAATAGCATTATATATAATTAAACTATCACCTGTTAGTTTTGATTGACGATAATACAATCTATTGATTGAGGTATCTGCAAGAATCCTTAAAGAAGTGCATTTTTTTTACCTTCAGAATGATGAATGTGTAATTGTGTGAAATTTGAAAAAGTTTAGGAGATGCACATTGAAAGTGCAATCCTTCCTCAGTTGTTACAATTTTCCCATTTGCAAACACTACTATAAGATAAGAGTTATCAAAATTTCAGTGTTTGTGATGTTAAGGTCCTCCATTTGAAAAGTAAAAAGAAGAAGAACACAAATGTTGAATATGATTGTTGATAAGCAATGAGTGGACAGATTTGTTATAAGAGCAAACCTGAATTTATATATGTCAGCTACTATAGACGAAAATGCCCCCATAATAAATTAGTGTACTTTATATTTTGAGGTGGGCCTTGGACAACGTAATGGTGACTTGACTTTGAAATTAGGCAATGCGTGTTAAATGTGGATCGTTGATATTTGGGATTCAATTTTGACCATTACCTTTTGCTGACACCTTGAATAGTATATGGTATAGAGAAATCTTATCTTGAACAATGTTTCAAGGTTAGTCTTGGACAGTGTATATATTGGGCAGTGTGCATTAGCATATGGTATAAAGAAGTCTTATCTTGAATAATATTCGATGCATCCCTAGGTTTGTTTTGAAAAGTGCATATTACATCTTGACAATTGATGTGTTAGGATATAATTTTGACCATTAGTTTTTACTGAGATATTAGACAACGTGTATTAGTGTATGATACAAAGGAATCTTATCATGAACAATAAACTACTTACTTTGACTTTGAGTCTTGGGTACCTAGAACTTTATATATCCATATAAGAAGTTTTATTTGATGACAAACAAAGTTTTAATGGTTGAGATATGTGCGCCTTTATTAATTGTTTGATATTAAGTTATTTCATTAGTTATGATGATACTTGTTTAACTTTTAATATTAGATATAAAAATTTTAAGAAAATAATATTTAGTAAATTTTCCCTGTTATTGAATAGTTGAAAATAAAATTAAAATAAAAAAGGTATACTTATAATGAATTATAGAAAAGTTAATATGCATTATATAAAAAGTTAAAGTACAATTATTATGTATTACACAAAAACTATTATCCATTACAGAAAAGTTAAACTAGTTTCCGTAATGGTGATAATTTCCATAACGAGAACGTCATCTATTACGTCTTAGATTTTTTCTCGAATGTTCTTCTTGGGATGATCCTTCTTGTGGTGGTGATTCGTACGGTGGTTATTATTCAGGTGATTCATGGGGAAGGAAGGCAAAGGAACTAGTTCCTTCATGATGATATTGTGGTGGGTACATTGATTGCATATAATCATTGGTAGCTGAGGGTCTTATAGGATTTTCTCCAAATAAATTTGAAAAAAAAAAGTCATTTGAACTTGAAGCAAAAGAAATTCATGTAGGATCCATTGCCGGTTGTGGTGGAGGTGTCCAGTAGGAAGTACTTGTGAACAATTGATGTGGAGACATATGAAATGATGGTGTAATGGATGAGCCAGTTTCAAATGTGCGTGATTGGTTGCATGTACGTTGTTAGTTTCTTGGATCTTGATGTAGTTCTTGCACGAACAATAAATAAATGGAATTTGTAGTATACCATTTCATGTATTCTCTCGTGTGATAGAAAGACCCTGGCAATAATAGACCTGTTAGTACAAGGTCTCACCTGTTGTTCCATATATTGATCATTTGACATGCTTTATTTGCCAATTTTCACCAGGTCTTCCCTGCATATTAATTATGTTCATGTTATCTAGATTTTATGGAGGAGGGGTAGCAAGTACACCACTGTTGAGCTTAGTGATGACCACGACATCAATGCAATGTTCAATATTTTCATATTTGAGGTATTTTCCACTAATATTGAGTTATTTATGTTTCAATGTCATTCATCTCAACCCCAAATGGAATTTCTTTTTCCTTACCTTCATATGTACATGAACCAGTACTCAACCCACGATCTGAATTTTCTTATCATCCACGACCTAAATCTTTTTACCACCCTTCACCATCACACCTAGGCAAAAATAATCCTTCCTTTTATACTTCTTGGGAATTAGATCTTCAAACCTACACATAACTTTTCATCGGACCAACCTTAGTTTTTGAACTAACCCCACCTTTCCAGCTAACCCATCCAACCCCACCAAACAAATCATCCATGGAAGAACATGTAATATTAGGCCTTCCATCTGAAACTTATGACCCTTTCATCGATGACAAAGATGACATCCTCGCTAATAGTGCAAATGAGGAAGATGATGAAGAACCCCAATTAGAACTTATCATTGAACCTACCCAAGTCACCTACAACCCACCCAAATAATTTACCCAAATTCACTTTACCATGAATGACATTGATCCCGAATTTGTTCATGTTCTTAACCGAGAAACATTTGTATACCTCCCTAGGACATTGTTTGTTGGTCAACACCTTACAACAAACAAGATGTTACATAGGCAATAAACAGGTTTCACATCATGCACCATTGCACATACAAAGTGCAAATTTCAAGCCAATCTAGGCTTGTAGTGCAATGTAAATCATCTAGAGTGTGAGTGGAGGTGCAGAGCAATATTGCAGACCAGAGAGAAATTTTGCAAATAATGAAGATGGAAGGCACTCACACTTGCATGTCCCCATTGATCTTTCAAGATCATAACAAGTTGGGATCATGCCTTACTTCTCAACAATCCAAGAAATTGTGGATGTTGATTGTTCAACCCTTGTATCAACCATAATTGCCCATATCAAGTATACATAAGGATACACAATCATTTATCGAAACACATGGTTAGCGAAGCAATTAGCCATCGAGAAAATATACAGCAATTGGGAGGAATTATACAAAAAGTTGTCATATCTTCTAAAGGCTATGCAACTGTATGTCTGTGGACTTATATGGAAGATGAACACATGTCCAACATACCAAGGACAACAACTAGTTGAGGACCATTTATTCTTCAAAAGGGTCTTCTAGTCCTTCAAACCATACATAGATAGTTTTCAATACTACAAGCCATTAGTGCAAGTAGATCGAACCTTTCTCTATGAAAAATGTAGAGGAACCTTATTGGTTGCAGTAGTACAAGATGGTCACAACAACATACTCTTATCATCTTTGTTGTAGTCGAAGGGAAAACAGCTGATGTTTGGTTCTACTTTTTTAAGAACCTAAGAAGACATGTCACCCCATAAAATGGATTATGTCTCATTTCTAATATAAAACCAATTGACAATATATGAAGTAACCTAACATGTATTTAAATTATACTAAATAACATGAGACAAACCATATAGGACTTCCAACAAATTTAAAATAAGTTCAAGTAAATATTTTTATCCAACATTTAAATAAATTAGTATTTTTTTCTTTATTTTTATTTTATTAACTTACAAATAATATTATATTCAGATAATTCATAGAAAACGATAGAATAATTCATAAACCATATTTTATGCACATAATCCACGAATTATAGTCAAAATGTACAATTCCCATGCAATAGTCTAAATATATAATTCACATATTAGATACTTTATTTGAATAAATACTAACGATAATATATTTAAACAAAAATTAGAAAAATAAAATTTATATAAATTTATTTATACAAATAAATCGGTTTATTTTTTATATGTAATTTTCTTGTCTCTATTCATAATTTTTTTATTTGCTTATTATTTTTTCCTTTTCTAACTTACATATCTTGTTTTTCTCACTCCTCTTCCACTTATTCTTATAATTAAACTACTATATTAAAATTTAATAAAAATATATTAAAATAAATATTTTAAAAATAACATTAAAACTAAAATTTAAATTATGATGACAATAAGAGTTTTATTTATTTTGACAGTAAATATTTTTATTTATGATGACATAAATAGTTAATTTAAAATTCTTTTAATATACTAAATAATTAATTATTCAATTAAAAAATATAAAATATTTATAAATTAAATGTATTTTTATATAATACTTTAATCGAGTTATAATCATATTGAATTATGATAATTAGTTAGATTAGATAATTTTAAAAAAATATTTATTGAAATGATATCTTAAATAAATATTTATTTTTTTTCTTAATAATTATAACATAATAATATTTTATTGTATAATATTTTCAAATATAATATATTAAATTTTAATAATTCTATATCATTTAGATTTTTTTTTCAATAATAATAAAATACTTATGTTATCAAATTTTAATATACTATTTTTAACGGAATAATAAGATGGAGTAGGAGACGAAAAGAAAAAGAAAAGAGAAAAAAGTAAAAATAATAGAGAAAACTAAGAAAATGAACCAAGAAAGATAAGAAAATAGTTGTGTTATGTTACACAAATCTATTTCCCCTTAGGGAATCTTGTGTATGAACAATATATGTTTAATTGAATAAATAAATTTAGAATAATTTTATTTAAATAATTTTTTTAAAATATATTATTTATGAAATTATTTTTATTTTATTTAAGTAATTATTGAAGATAATATATTTATTAATTTATATGATATTTTATTAGACTAATTCATCAATAAAATTTTACTTGAATATATGAATTATTTAATGATACAATATTTTATTATTAAAATTATTTTTATTTTATAATTGAATTTTAAATTTATATTTTAAAATTTTCGTATCTTTTGATTTTTATTTTTTATAATGATAAAAGTAAATAAAGTTCTCATATTTATCTTTATTTTTCCATATCATGATATTTTGTTTAATTTTATTATTATTATTATACTTTATTTAAATACTCTTAATTTTAATTTTTAAATATATGTAATTTTGAGTTAAAAATCACAGAAAAGAATAATTAAGTAGATTAATCAAATAATAATAATTGATAAATTAATTAATTAATTAAATAAAAAATAATCATTACTTTATCTTATATTTAAGAAGGCATAATAGTGAAACCGATTAATAATACACAGTAAGTAACCTTGATGGTAGAAAAAGTCAATATTTCTTAAAAGTATAAATAGTTTGGAATAACATTTAATAATTACAACTGCACGGTTGATAACATTTAATAATTACAAATACAGATGATAGCAGAAAAAAGAGTTATAAACGCTTTCTTGGAAGGAGAAATAGTTTTAAATGACATTAATAACACAAATCATTGACATCAGAAAAAGCTATTAATGCTTTCTTGAAAGTAGAAATAGTCAGGGAAATATCAGAAATTTTGTACATGTAATTTAAAAAGTATAATAAATACCTACTTGATTGATAATCTGGTTATATTACTTAAAATATAAAAGCCACTAATTTCTATAAATTACTGCTTATGAAAATGTTACATTTTATTTTGATTTTCAAGTTTAAACAAAAATGTCTAGATAAAATAATATTTGTTCTAATATAGTAAACTTTACTATTTAATGAATATTTTAAATATTTCATAACAATATAAAAATTAATAAAATCATCAATATATTTTCACACGTACAAAAAGATTACAGTGTACCTGAGCAGGGCACAGTGAAAGTTCTAGTAATATATAAATGTTCAATGAATCTATTACAGTAGGCCCAAAAAGGGAACAAGTTCTGCATCTCATCGCACAAAATGGGAATAATCCCAAATAGGGATGAATCCTAAAAGATTATATAGAGGACCATCATCACCACATAATAATAATGGATATCTAGACTCTCTATATGTATAGTATCTGATATCTATAAGCCACATTAATTATATATAAATTTAGAAGTAATATGTTAATTCAATTCAACTGCATTGATATTCAGAAAGATCACCCACTGTCTGAGGGTCACCTTCCCTTAAGCAATTGATTGGAGGGATAGTCAAAGTCTCCTGTGTCCCATAAGCATTCCAGCAAAAAGGGTCATCAAGCAATGCTCCTTCGAATGGCAAAAGCTCAACCTCAGAGAGAGTTATGTTTGTGCAAGCAACGGTGTCACTGCAAGCAAAGTGAATAGGAGCTGTTCTCACATCATAGGTGCCCTTTATGTTACTGTAGGATACATCATTCACGTGCACAGCAGAAGTCTGGTTTAGACATTCCTTTGACAAGCAGTAGTATTGGTCTATAATGATGCAGTTCCCAACGTTCTCCATTTGGATGTTCTCAAATCTTAGACCTGTCACTGATCCCATTCCCCCTTGCCATGTCTTGATTCTCAGTCCGTTGTCTGACTCCCTTATGATGCTGTCCCGGACTGTTAGGTTTGACACACATGCCTGGGAGTTGTGCACTCCTAGGCTTCCAATACTGCAGAAACAAAACAAGACTCTATGCTTAGGAGAAAGAGTCAGTTCAAATTCTTATTGCCAGTCTTAAACACACTCTTTATTCACTTGCCTTCTCAAATTGTTTTAGTTTAATGATGACTTAAGTTTAAATTGATATGATAAAACCTTTTACTTTTAACTTTTACAAGTTCACTGTGCGTATTGTACCTAATCCCGTGGCTAGGAGCACAAGTTAAACCTGCTATGTCGACGTTTGAAGAACCGGGTCCAATTGAAATGCAATCATCACCTGCTCAAATAATGTGATTTTATTTTGCATCAGTAAGTAATTGTGAAATATAGAATCACAATAAGTGAACATTGCAATATAGACATTACCATTGCTTATCATGGAGTTATATATTCCAACATATTTGGTGTTTTCTACATGGATTCCATCGGTGTTGGGGCTGAGTTTTGGTGAAGAAATGGAGAGCTTATCAATCAGTACTCCTTCGCAGCCATCAAATTTCATGTGAAACTGAGGACTGTTTTGAATTTTAAGCCCATTTACCTTCAAATTGGAGCTCATGAAGAACCGTATCATCTACAAACCAAAATAAAAAAGGGTAAGTCCAAACTTACAATTAGTAAATGCATGATCTGAGTTCTCAAGAATAGTTTGGTTTAGGTTACTTACAGCAGGACTACCACATGGTCCTGACATAGTTTTTCCATTGGGACCCTGAAAGCCATTTTTTAGGTAGAGACGTTTAGTATATATTTCCATTCAACTTTAGATAACCGCAACAACAAAATTGAAAGGAGAATGCACACAGTGATTGCGTTAGTGACAAGACAAAATGGTTACCCTATGAGGTTTGCAAGGGAGATCCCACCATTTGTCTCCATTCCCTTCTATTGTTCCTTTACCATTAAGAGTCATTTGGTCAAGTCGGTAAAATACAAGCCATTGATTTCGGCTATCTGTTTCTGGCCATGAATTCGGTCCATCTGGTGCCATTAGTGTTCCATCCACCTGGTTTTTTGTCTACCTTGTTAGTAAACTGAAATACTTTTTATCTATATACCTAACAAAGGGACCAAGCCTGAAGTGAGAGAAGTTAATCTTGACCATTCAATCATATATATGCAGTCAAAATTAAACAAATATTAACCATATATGTAAGGTTGAATTGAATGGCTAATATTAGCATCTCTCATGTCTCACGGAAAAAAAAAAAAAATACAATGTGATGTGGGCATTTAACAAACATTCTTACTTGGAATACCAATCCTGGCTTGCATGGACCTGAAAAAATAGTTGAAGTGATCTTAAAGCTGTAGTTTTCTGGAGCAAGAACAATACCAGACTCCACAGCACATGCTGCTTTCCATGCTGCCCTGAATGCAGGTGTGTCATCAGCACAACCATCTCCAACTGCCCCAAAGGATCTCACATCAAAAACACAGTCAGAAGAGGAGGTTTGGTTATCATTTGGATAAGGGTCAGAAGGAACAGTAGGAGGATCAGCAGGGTTCTCTGGCTGAGTGGAAGAATCAGAAGGAGCGGTAGGAACAGAAGAAACTTTCCTCTGCTTGGTGTGATGGTGGTATCTTCCCTCCACATTTCCAAAATTATGGTTCAAAAGTATAAACCATAGAGTAAAAAACACACGAATTGTGAGATCCATGATGGATTCTATTCCGTGAATATTTTCACTCTGTGGATGTATGTGCCAATGTGGGAAGAACCACAAAATGCTTATAAGTTGTTTCTATAAATAGACAGAAAATTCAACTTCAGAATTTGTAGTTCTAGAGATTAATGAATGAGAGTGAAAGAGAAGGAAGAATGGAAAAGGGCTAATGCATATCCAGAGGAAGCTTAGCAAATTAGTGCAGAGCAAAGAGCAGCTCTTATTTATACTGGAAAACTTGTATGATATGGAACAGAAAGAATTCAAAGCATATAAGGATGCCACGTGTAGAGTTCATGTTGGTTAAAATTGCCAGAGTGTCAAGGTAACTGAATTGAACTCTCGTATTAAAGGTTTACCCCTATTTTTTTACATTAAACAAAGTTTACTCGTTTGATAAAGTTTAGGGAAAACATTTTTTGTTTTTTTTTTCATGTTCTTCGTCAATTGAAATTGGATTTTTATTTCCGTATCTAACAATTGATTTTAGGTTTACAGTAGTTTTGGAAGCCAGTTGGAGAGAGAACGAAACAAGGAAAAAATTTTATGTTTAAATTGAGATAATTATATATTGTCTACGAAATAAATAAAATATTAGAATACTAATTTTATGTAAACATGCTATTTTAGTTGTTTTTATTTTTAAAACATCTGATTATAAAATATTTATGAAAAATAAAATAAAAATATTGTTTTTTTTTTCTTTTTGAAAATCTAGCGCCCAAATCCACTTTTAATGTTTTTTTATTATTGTACAGATTATTGGGGTAAAATCAATTTTGATAGAAGAACGTATCAAATATTGTTGAAATTATTAATCCCAAAGATATCCCATTTCTTTGTGTCCCATAAAAAAGTTCAATTTTTTGTGGTCCCATCCCATATCTAATGCATTGGTGCTCCTTTCACACTTTAATTCACTTGCCATTATGTCTATATATGTGAATTTTATGTATTATTTCTTAATCCTTTTTTTTCACATTTTAAAGTCGAATATATACTTACCATTGCATTCAATTTGTATAATTTGTGTGTGAGAAAGATAGCAACTCCTTCCAAAACACAAATAAAAGTGGAAGGGTATACAGAAATTAGCAATCAAAAAATTGTACATTGAACAATTTTCAGTTACTAGCTATAGGCTATTATGAAGCAATTTTTTTGTAGAAAAATCGTGCCACCATTAACCTAACTTCGATTTCATTCTATTATTTTTCAAAAATATAAATAAATATTATCTTACTTTGAATCTGAACATGTTCTTTTTTTGGTTAATTTGTGTCATCTATATAACTTAAGAATTTTCAATCTTTTTTATTCAAAGGTTAAAATTTGATTTAAATTTTTAACTATTTTTAATGAGTCTCATAATATATTATATACGTTAAAATTCTAACATGGGTTCAAATGGTTAAGAGGTGGAAAAAGGACTAGTGAGAAAATAAAAAAATAAAAATAAAGAAGGGGAAGCAATATTTTGTCTGCTTGTAAGAAAAATATGTGAAACTAAAGATGAAACTAAAAGCACAATTTTTAATTAACTGACTCGTATGATTCTTAGATATGATGCTATAATTAGTATGTGACAGAATCAATGGGAGAAACAAAAAGAAAAATAGGTCCCTTTGAAATAAAGAGACAACAAATATATTTGACCCTTTGAAAGACGGTGAATTTTTTAGTTGAAAAAGAATGAACAAGCCATGTGTACGTATTTTCCAAGAAAATGAGCAAAAACCATTCTGAAAAACGATGTCTTTAATCTGTATGTCCAATCATAGGTAACATGGTTTTCTGTGTGTTTTCCCTGAGAAGAGGCCAAACCAATAATGCTTGCATTCCTAGCTTCTGATTCTGAAAACCCTACGAGACATTGCACGTTTATTCTAGCTAAAAGTTAATAAAACTAGATCTGTAAATAACGCACACAGTAGCAGACTGTAAGCAGTTCAAGAAAACATAACATCATGGAGAAAAATGACCCAACTAAACTTTGATGGTGTGTCACAAAACCACCATTCTAATTTGAACTAAACTTATCTTTTCATTTTATGAACTGGAAACTCTTCTTGCATTCCGATTAAGATCTGTCACATGACCTATCCTGAGGGCAATTTTCGAAATGTTAAGGCAATTCAAGCATCACACACGTCACGTTGGATTATCCTATTGCACTCTCATTCACATTGTTATAGTAAATAATATTTGCTTGTTCTGTTCTGGCATGAACAACTTCCATTCACAAGAGAACACGTAGAAGGGTTTGAGAGAACGATAATTCATTAATAGTTTGGAACAGAAAAGAATTTAAAATATGTATCAAATTGGGTGAATATATTGATGTAAAAGCATTCCATCCCGTGACTCTTGGTTGTTGTTTAGCTCCTTTTGTGGCCAAGAAATTGTAGGCAGCATATATTAGGTGGGCGACCATCGCTTTATGTTAACCTCTTCACAGCTGACATCATCTCATGTATGATTAAGAAAAGAAGAAAGAGAATGATGCAAAGTAATAAGGTTTTTAATCCATCTCATAATGTTATATCACTTGGAGTGACCCTTTTAGAAACCGTGATGAATTCTGCATATGGTTCTATCTATCACTTGCATGACCACTCAAAGAAAATATATTAAGAATTAAACATTGAAAGAGCAATGGACTTTGTGACTTCACCTGATTATGAGTTTTTTTCCTCTAAACTGTCTTAGTTCGGGAAGTTTCTGTAACCATGCAAAGGCAATGGAGTTGACGTGCATAGTGCGAGTAGTGAAAGTTGAGTGTGAAGGGGTTTTTATAGAGGTGTAAGATTTGGACGGGGAGAGTGGAATTTTTTAGAAAACACGCATTGCTTACATGTTTGTCATGGCCTGTCACGCGTGCAGTCTCACGGGTGAGATGAAGAGAAGAGGGTTGATTCCAAAATCAATCATGAACACAAATGGTAACAGAGGAAAAGTTTGTGATCAAAGGGATTCTAAAGGTTAACACTTTTTCGTGCCCTGACAGATTCAGTGGCAGTTGCAAATGTGTGGTTCTCAAGTTAGACACGTGGCTTGTTCATACTTGCACGCGCGAAGTTACTGGATCTTTTCTTTCTTCATGACAGACAGGCACTGTGAGACTGATGAATGGAAGTTCCAACACAATGTCTAAAGAAAAAAAGTTATGAGTGGATGTTTGTTACTGCTATGATTCGATACAACTTCATTTTAACCTACTCCAGGTAAAATTATTGATTAACACATGTCATTAACCAAAAACAAACATCATAGTGAGATAAGCATAGATGCACAATTTTAATTCCCTCTAACTGATAAATCATATATATCATACTTTTTTTTCCAATTTATTGATATATTTTTAAGAATAATAAATTAAAATTTTAAAACAAATATATATTAAAAAGAATTATTTAAAAATAAAATTAAATATTTTATTATGAATATTATGTATGAATGGTTTAAAATTTGATTAAAATTATATATATAAATGTATTTTTTTAATTTTAAGTAATATTTTATATTTTTAAATAATTTTTTTATTTTAAGAATTCTGATGTTAAACTGATAATAAGATATTTTAATTGATCTTCGTCTTAAAATTTTAAACCTATAATTTATATATATTTTATTATTACAATAATTTTATTAATAATTGATAATTAATCCTAATTGTATAATTATAACATACATAACACAGTGATACTCTTATTCCTAATATATAAAAACCTATAATTTATATAACAATTACTATAGGATAAATCATTAACTCTTCAATTTCAACAATCAATCAAATTTTTAAGATGGTATAGAAAATAAACTATGATTAAAAATTTTAAAAGTTACGTGATGAGTTGAAAGTCATGTAACTTTTTGGTGACAATTAACATATATTTATATTGTGAATTACAAATTGACTGCTCTAATGTGTTTTGTTATTTTCTTTAAAATATAAGAGAAGAAGGTATATAAGAAAAATAAGATTAAAATAATTATAGATTAAAAGGAATGTTTTATATTGGTAGATCTTATATATTAATTTATAGTGACAAATTTGGATTAATTTTGTTGTATATGAAAACAACACTATATACATCCCTTCTATGAAGATATAAGTATGAATAAATGAATTTATTTGTATAGTTTGATTAAATATATTTAAAATTTGATTTAATGGGAATGGCAAATGAAGTTGAAAACTGTCTTTCACCCTTTTCACGTGTTGGTGTCTCTTGTTCTGGTGCGTGTCACGGACTATGGGAGGGGAATAATAAAAGAAGTTAATTGGGTTTTGAATAGATTTGTTTTGGGATTCTTTTCCAATGGAGTGAGACAGTGATGAGGACAGCATATGTATGAATTGAATTATGAGGAATAAAACAAATGTCTGGTTCCGTCACCTTGTTCATAACCCATTATTTTAAGTTCATTTAATAATTTGATGCATTTGTCTTAATCATAGATCCTATCAAACATAGGCATTCAACCGGAATTGGCTCAGACCAGTTTAAGGAAAGTTGCGAGGTGTTTCCACCTTCACACCCACCTCCAGTTCAACCGCAAATGCATCGTCATATATGAGAACCGAATCAGAAATTTTGGAGGAGGACCACATCGTCTAAATAGAATCTTTAAATCGATTTTCTCATAAAAAGAAAACAATATGTGTTCATTTTATGAATTAACTAAATAAATTAGATAAGAACAATAATCTGTTCTTTTATTTCTTATTCTACATTTTCTTTTTTATGAATGAAAAATATAGAAAGCACATATTTAGATTAAGAAGAGACCTTATTTTATGTAAGTAGATGTCAAATTTCTTTTTTTAAAACAGTTATTTCATAAAAAAATATTGCTCCTATTTTACATCTTTATCATTTAGTCTTTTATTATCTATTTATTTTTCTTAGCAAATTACGCGTTCATCGTGAGACATAACATGTTAATATGATATAACAGTTGAAAAAGATAATAAAAAAATGAAATTGCTTACTTAAAGAAAAATGTTAAAAATAAAGAGAAAAACTTATTTTTATGCATAATAATAAAAGAGAAAAGTATGGAGGTTGAAGAATGACAGAGAAAAAGGTATAAATATGAAAGTAAAAAAAAAAAAAACAAGTTTTTAAAGTTGAAGTAGAGAAAGTAAAAAGGTGAGAGAGAAAAAAATATATAAATAAAAAATTATGGGATAAAATAAACATTATATTCATTATAATTATTATTACTATTTTTAAAAATGAAAAAATATAATAATTATTTTTTTACTTTTAAAAATTAATTTTATTTAATTTTTAAATAATTACTATATATATATATATATATATATATATATATATATATATATATATATATATATATATATATCAGACTTTTGAGGGGTTTCATGGTTTCATCTTTAATCATATATATTCAGCTTAATTATATATTTTGTATATCTCTATCAAATATTGAGACTTATAGTAGATGTGTATAGTTAAATTCTTGAAGTTTTCCCTTAATGAAGTATATAAATTATTTGTATAAATACTATTATATAACACTTCAATTCGCACACAAAGATACACATATTAAAAATTAATTAACAGTTTTATTAACATAAAATTAACAGTTTCCCAGTGATGATTAAAAATTAATTAGACTACTTAATAATATATAAACACCAAATAAAATATATTTTAATTATATCAATACCAAATATTTATCACAGGTATTACGAAAAACATATTTTACCTAATAATTTTTTTAAACTATTTTAGTATTTTAAATTTAGTATTTAAGTGTTAAAATTATATATTACTAAATTTCAAGGAATAAAATAAATCTTTTTCAATTTAAAGAACTAAAAGAATTATTGATCCAATTTCAAGGAGTAAAAAACATAATTACGCCTATATATATATATATATATATATATATATATATATATATATATATATATATATATACTCTTCTAAAATTTACTGCCGTAATTTGTTTTTAAGAAACACTCACTGTACTTTGATGTTTTGTATACCAAAATGATCATCAGATTTAAATATCAGGATATATTTGAAATAATAACAATAAGTAAGATTGAATTAATTACTTATATTTAAATTTATTAAAAATGATATCATTTAATATTTAAGAAGCAAATCTAGACTAAGGTTATGGACAAAAGAATCTTACTTGTAAAATTTATTACAGTAGGAGCACTACAGATTGATCAAAGAATTTTTTATTTTGTTTAATAAAAAGTTAGATTAGACCATGTCTCATTATGAAACTTCAACATCCAAAAACATCCCAATAGGCCGGCAGATTGACCTAAGTTAATTTCAGGAAGGACTACATTTTATTGTGCCAGAATCAAGAGTGCCATGAAATATTACATCAACTACAATATTGCATCAATATTATTATTACTAAAACATAATATTCCATCCAGCCCTAACTTGTATACCCATATTTGTATAACTTGATATTTGTTGTTCCATCATTTTCTCTTCTACAGCTTTACTCAATTATGAATTTTGATCAATACCAACAATCTACCACTTCTTCTTGTTCTGGCAAATCCCACTTCTTTGGGGGTCCTGAGGCCCTTGGGGTTGCACCAAAATAATCCCAACCCAGTCTAGCAATTTCCACACAGATTGTTCGACCGTAAAAATCCTGCAGCCAATGGACAAGAAACAAATCAAAAGGGAGCACTCAGTTGTCAATGTCATGGTTGGCAGTAGAAGGATAACGCATATTATGAAAATTTGAACCTTCTGATCCATGGTTTCTAGTGCAAGCATGGCATCATCTTGGCATGTATATTGAATGAAAGCAATACCCTTAGATCGTTTTGTGTTCATATCTTTAACCATTTTAACTGCATCACTCATAAAATACATGACCCAAGAGGTCTGAGTTAGAGTACTACAAGCCATTATGTAAACCACCCAAGACCCATACCATTATGAACAATGAGAAAACTCCTGCATTTACCTTCAGCTATCTTCCCAAAATTTGAAAATTCCTTTTGCAAAGTAGTCTCACCAGTAGAATATGGTAAATCTGCTTCCAGTTAAAAACAAGTAAATTGATATAATCGCACCATTCACCATAGATTATTCGCAACACTATGAACACAGTATAACAATCAGAAAACAATTATAAGCATTCATCAAACAATTTAACTAGCTAGCTTCATCTGTTTTGGCTCAATAATGTCCAAAGTTATAATCACAAACATATCAGGGCCAACTTAAAGCCCTTGTAAAAATCTCAGGAATATAAAAATTATTGATAGCTTGGTTTCAAGATGAAATATTCCCATAGTACTCCAATTATGCCCTAAATATATCCATGCTTGAAGCACTTCATTTCAGAGTGAAACATCATTTTAGTCGTTGATAGATTTGAGATTGGACATGTTAGTCTCTGAAAGATGAAAATCATCATTTCTGTTACTAAAAGATAAAAATCTTCACCGATTTAGCTCCTGAGAAGGGCCAAATTGATGTGAAGAAAAGACTAAATTGATCATCTTCCATGAATGAAAATGTATGATTTTCATCTTTTTGGCTAATACAACCAACCTAAAATCTGCAGAGGCCAAAATGGTGTTTTACTCAGCTTACTTTTTCCATACCCTTAACCTTAAATATCCCCACCAAGGAACTAACATTAAGATGCCTACACTCATTATGTCGCATAAACTACCTAGAGTTGGCAATGGTAGATAGCAGTTGACAATGACTTCTAAACTGAGTGCTAAACCATAAGTAAAACAAGCATCCTAAAGGGATGATATCTTACAAGGCTTGCAAGTCCAACAAATAAACAATTCTTCATATTTTCTCCTACACACTACCCACATCACCAAATTGGGTGGCATAAAAATTGCTACTTTACAGGGAAAAACGATAGAAAGTGCCCATTCAAATCCGAGTATGTGTCCATAGGCTGAAACAACACGAGAACAATTGGCAAGAAGGTGGGCATGCATCAAAAACACAAATTCACGTTTAGATTAAATGGAATCGAAGGACAAGAGGGAGAGAAACGAACATTACTTTTAACAATAATTTTACTTGCGAGGGGGTAGTCATGGCGTAGAGAAGATGCCCTCAGCGTAAGAAGAGAAGGGTTTACTCTTGCAAAGGGTTTTGCGCAGCTAGGGATTGAAGGAGCCAACATACTCATCCTGTCGCGATGGCGTACCGTGGGCGTGGGCGTGGGCGTGGGTTAGGGTTCGTTTCGTTTCGTTTGTTGCTCGGGTATAAAGTATTCATGTAAATTGTGATTGAATAATTGCACTATAAGATCTTACCTATGGTGTAATCACAAAGTTAAAAAGTAAGTTGGGGATGACATGAGAGAGTGATAAAGTAGTGATCAAAATTTCTAGTCTTCATGAGAAAATTATTAGTAGATGTGATCGATTTAATTGTAAAGAAAAGAAGCACATTATTGGAAACAAAATTGATCAAGTGGGATGTTATATAGAACACAACCATATAATTAATATAATTAATAATAATAAGTATAGAAGTTAAAATTTAAGTTCGTAGACTTAAAATAATAAAATATAAGATAAATATCATAATTTTTTAATTATTCTTCTTTAATTTTAACATAATTAATTTTAATATTATATAATGGATATAGCTATTTTCTCCGATTCAAAGATTGAGTTATCAAATTACAATTCATCTTCAACCTCAAATTGAATATTTTCTCTCTCTCTCTCTCTCTTTTCTAAGAGATCGAAGTTGCGTATATGTTCTTTTCTCTGAAGCTTGGGAAGAACAAATAAAAATGTCACCCTTTTATTTTATTATTCGTGAAACTTGTTACATAATTGCCTGATTAGGGGTGAGATATTCGTCAAAAAATAATCTATTCCCCATCTTCATTATCATTATCATGCCTCACTAATCACTTATTTCCTTTACCACTAATCCAAAACTATTAATTATCAAGTATACCACATTTTAATTTCGGATCGCACTTGGTACAATTTTCAAACCAACTGAAATATTCGTGTTTGTTTGGTGAACAAACTAGAAAAAAATGATGTATCCAAGATTTCCCAGGGAGCAACAGTGTCAGTTTCTCTCCATTTTCTTTCACACCAAAACAGAAGCATCACTACATGCTTTGTATGAATCATTAGTCCACAAATTGGAACTCAAGAACTTCTCAACATCCCATATCATATACAGTCACTGAGCCAAAATAATCAAATAATAAAAACCCTACAGCATTTTAGTACAAAATTTACTCCGCAAAGCTTCCTCTAATTTTTGAAAAATCACTGAGAATGCTCCTGCATTGAGAACAACGCAAAACTAGACAAGTTATTCACTAGTTAGCAGAGGTGCTGCCACTTGAACTTAACCAATGCTATTCTAGACAAAGTGCTACTAAAATCAAGAAAAAGGCATTTACGAAAATTGAAATTGTAAAAGCAGGTGAGAAAAAAACCTGATAACGGGCTATTCTGGTCTTGTAATGAACCTTTCACCAACAGTGTACCAGGAATTTGCTGAAAAACCTGTAGGATAGGATAAATAACTTAAGATCAACGTAAATTCTGCCAACCAAAGTCAATTATGAAGCCAGGTAAGAAAAGAAAGCAAGCATACCGATATACGAAAGCATAATCTCTCAAGAGAAAAATTCAAACTCGATTCATTAGATGTCTCTCTTGTAGATTGGCAATCATTGGAATTTTTTATAATTGTTAATTCATTCCTCGAGATTGAATCACAGAAATCCTTTGACGCTGCAACCTAGTATAATGAGATCGTGACTAATAGCCATCAGAAGGAAGTTAAATTAGAATTTGAGACTTAGAGTGACAGATCTTACATCCACTGTGAAAGAGGAGGTATTCAATGTACAGGATAGGCCATGCGAAGAGAAGTGGGATTTAACAGTTTCCAACACATTAATGGCACCATGTTGGCGTTGAAGACCCTGAAAAGTAAATTGTTACATCACATCCAAAGGATACTGAAAGTGGCGAGATACATCACATCCAATTCAACATGTACTTCATATAATTGAAGATCTCTTTGATACTGGAAATGAAAGTTAACTTTTTCCCTTACTGGAAACACAAAATGATATTGGGTTTCCCAGCTGACAACCTTGTATGCAAATGGTAATGCACTAAAAGAACTGAATGCTCAACCAACTAGAGGTACGCATGAAATCAGATATTTCTTGTGGACTTATTTAAATAATGGAAGGATAAAGGATAACCATTACATGTTGTTCATTGGGAAGAGTTCCCATTATAAGGTACCACATATCCCCAATAGTTGACCAGGCTTCTAAAGTTTGAACTTACTAGTTGTCCCTCCATCTAGAAGGAAGTCTCTTGACGTTAGCTACCACACGTATTATCCCAGAATATGGACACCCTTCACATGTTGATGATCTGAATCCCTAACCTACTACTAAGTAGGATAGATTGTTTTCAAATAATATTTTGAATTAAATCTTACAATTTGAACATATTCTATAATGAAACTTAAAGGACTTTGTATTTTACAATACAAAGATGGATCTGCGCAACTTCATACTATCAACATGAATAGCGAGATTCAATGATTTTTTAATTTTTACTTTTCTTTCATCAATTCTCATGATAACATCTAAAATTCATATGTAACTTAATTTGTTAAATTAAAATAAATTGATGGAACACTTTTCAACTTATCTTCTGTTATTATTGCACAACTTTATTTGTCATTCACACATTCAATGCACCTAGTTACTTAATTGCTTTGTTTCCATTCTTCTTAGATAAAGGGTTCGCAACTTATTATAACTAATAATATCTTTTATAAGATTTTTAGTTGAGTTATTTTATCTATTTCTAGTTCATATATTTTACATTGAACGCCAATTTTTTTTTGTCTTCTAAAGTCTCACAATTCAATACAAATTATGATTCTTAGTTCAAATATTAACAGGTTCGCAACTTATTATAACTAATAATATCTTTTATAAGATTTTTAGTTGAGTTATTTTATCTATTTCTAGTTCATATATTTTACATTGATCGCCAATTTTTTTTTGTCTTCTAAAGTCTCATAATTCAATACAAATTATGATTCTTAGTTCAAATATTAACACAAAAATTCACCATTCAAATGGTGATTCCTAAAACTTTGGTATTAACCAGTCCAATGGCATCATGTGATCCATAAGTCAATCTCACCTAATGTGACAAGGCATTGTTGATTCACATCCAGATCCCAATTTGATAACGTTGACACACACCAGACACCCCCACCCCCCTCCTCCATGTGTCTATTATCTTTTTGTGTCTTTGTGTCAACTAAAACCAATACAATTGTGTTTGTTGAGAAGAGAGAAATTGAGAAGGAATATGATCAGTCCATGTGTTTAGAGCACATCAGAGCTATTCATTTTATTGGGAAAGAGCATAATTATAGAATATTCGCTTTTCCCTATTTTAAGTTAGTAGCACAAATAAAGAACCAAACTAATTGACCCTAATATTATGCCTCTGAAATTCTAACATATCTTAAGGATTCTAACACTACCTCTCAAGCTGGAGTAGATAGGTCATTATACCAAGCTTATTACATATGGAGTTAATCCAAGGACCCTTTAGTGATTTAGTAAATATATATGCTATTTGATAACGAGAACTAACATAGTAAATATTTCCTCGGACATGACTTTCTCTTAGACAAAATGAAAATCAACTTCAATATGCTTTGTCCATTCATGGAATACTAGATTTGAGACAATATGCATGACAGCCTAATTATCACATATAAGTGACAATTGTGTAACCTCCGCCAACTTTAGTCTTTGAAGCAACTATTTGAGCCATATAAGCTCCTAATTAATTGGCTATAGCCATAGGTCAATACTCTGTCTTTGCAGTGGACTTGGCTCCAACACTTTCCTTCTTGCTTTTCTAAGAGACAAGGTTATTTTTGAAAAATACAAAAAAACTAAGAGGTGGATCATCTATCAATGGGGGGACTCAACCTAGTTTGCATTAGAATACTCTACAACTCAAGTGTGTCCTTTGTCTTCATACAAAAGACCTTTTCTGGTAGCTCCTTTGATGTACCAAACAATTGGATGTGAGAAATCAAATAGTATTTTAGGAAAGAATAAATAAGGAAATTTGTATATTTCCTTGTAATCTGTACAGATTTGAATAATTAGGAACAATCCCATAAATCAAGGGATCCTATCATAAAATAGAGTTATTATATTTCCTAAAATAGTTTAGGTCTCTTGTATATATCTTATATCATCTCTTATTGGAATAATAAAAATAAATCATATTTCAGTTAATCTATTTTTCCAGATGGTATCAGAGCCAAAGCCTAACATCTTTCTGGTTATTGTTATGGGCCAAAAGTTGCCCTTTATAGTTGGGTCAAAAGTACCCTTTGTCTGGTCCGACAGGCTTCGTTGGAGGGGGTGTGTTGAAAGTCCCACATCGCCTACCTCATATCATTTGGTATGGTTTAAATACATGTTAGGCTACTTCACATATTGCCAATTGGTTTTATATTGGAACCTTAACATGGTATCAGAGCCTTAAAGTGTGTCTTTGTTGGTTACTCACCCACTCAAAAAGGGTATAAATGCTACCACCCCCCATCCAAAAAATTCTTTGTGTCTAGGGATGTTACCTTCAATGAACAAGAGGGCTATTTCCATCAACCTTATCTTCAAGGGGAGAGTTTCAGGGAAGATAAGGAAAGTAGTGATTCTGGTTTTCCCATTCTTCCAGACTTGACATTTGAACCTAAACGAAATCATATTGAAAGTAGTAATTCTGGTTTTCCCATTCTTCCAGACTTGATATTTGAACCTAAACAAGATCAAATTGAAGATCAAATTGAAGTTGTAACAAATGAAACAAGTCAAGGAATTGGTCAAGCAAAGGAAGTTGGTCAAGAAAGTGAAATTAATTGTGAAGCTGATCAAGAAGATGTTGAAACTGGAAAATTTGGTAAGAAGCTGGTGTACTCAAGGAAGACTAAGGTCATTCCAGGATCAAGCCATGTTCAAGAATCCAACTTGACTCCACAAAAAGAGGTAACAATTTTTTCTCCAGTACTGCAAGGTTGAAATTGAAACCCAAAATGATCCCGACCTCCCAATTGCCATTAGAAAAGGAACAAGAAAATGCACCAAACAACCACTCTACCCTCTCTCAAATTACCTGTCCTTTAAAAATTTCTCTCCTACCCATAAAACCTTCCTAGTAAACCTAAACACTGTACTTCTACCTAATACCCTATCTGAGGCATTGTATGACAGAAAATGGAGGCAAGCCATGGATGAAGAGATGGAGGCATTGGAGAAAAACAACACTTGGGAGTTAGTCACCTTACCAATAGGAAAGAGGCCAGTTGGATGTAAATGGGTCTATACAGTGAAATACAAGGCTGATGGATCAATTGAGAGATATAAGGCAAGACTAGTTGCCAAAGGGTTCACCCAAACCTATGGAGTTGATTATTTGGAGACCTTTGCTCCGGTTGCCAAAATGAACACAGTTAGGGTGATATTGTCCCTTGCTGCCAATTATGGTTGGAACTTGGAACAATTTGATGTTAAGAATGTTTTCCTACATGGAGACCTTGAAGAAGAAATCTATATGGAGATACCTCCGGGATATGGTAAAGATGTTGCTACCAACACTGTTTGCAAGTTGAAAAAGGCATTATATGGGTTAAAACAGTCCCCCCGTGCATGGTTTGGCAGGTTTACTAAAGTTATGACAGGTCTGGGTTACAAACAAAGCCAAGGGGACCATACTTTGTTTTTTAAACATTCCAAGTCAGGGGGAGTAACAATATTATTGGTGTATGTGGATGACATAATATTAACTGGAGATAATAAAGAAGAGCAACAATTATTGAGTCAATGCTTAGGCAAGGAATTTGAGATCAAGACTTTGGGAAAACTAAAATATTTTTTGGGAATTGAAGTTGCCCACTCCGAGAAAGGGATATTTATATCTCAGCAGAAATACATCACTGATTTGCTCAAGGAAACTGGCAAGGCAGCTTGCAAACCTGCTAGTACCCCATTAGAACCAAACCTAAAGCTTGGAAATGCAGAAGAAGATGTTGCTGTTGAAAAAGATATGTACCAAAGATTAGTGGGCAGACTTATATATTTGTCACATACCGGGCCGGATATTGCCTATGCAGGTGAGTTTAATTAGCCAATTTATGCATAGCCCAAAGGAGACCCATTTACAAGTCTGCCCACGGAATTTTACAGTACCTTAAAGGAACTCCAGGAAAAGGGATTCTATTCAAAAGGAATGGTAATGTAAAACTTGAAGCCTATACTGATGCCGATTATGCAGGGTCAATTGTGGATAGAAGGTCAACTACGGGATATTGCACCTTTCTTGGAGGAAATCTTGTGACTTGGAGAAGCAAAAGCGGGGTGTAGTGGCTCGGTCCAAGTCTGTGACGGAATTCCGAGCCATGGCACAAGGTATATGTGAGTTGCTATGGCTTAAAATCATCTTAGAAGACTTGAGGATAAAGTGGGAAGAACCTATGAAGCTCTATTGTGATAATAAGTCAGCAATCAGAATAGCCCACAACCCGAGTGCAAGCATGATAGAACAAAGCATATTGAAGTAGACAGACACTTCATCAAAGAAAAGCTTGATAGTGGCTTGATATGCACTCCATATGTGTCCTCTCAAGACCAAATTGCAGACATTCTTACCAAGGGACTGGGCTGCCATAATTTTGAGAAGATTGTATCCAAGTCTGGGAATGGAAAACATCTATTCACCAGCTTGAGGGGGAGTGTGAGAAATCAAATAGTATTTTAGGAAAGAATAAATAAGGAAATTTGTATATTTCCTTGTAATCTGTACAGATTTGAATAATTAGGAACAATTCCATAAATCAAGGGATCCTAGCATAAAATAGAGTTATTATATTTCTTAAAATAGTTTAGGTCTCTTGTATATATCTTATATCATCTCTTTGTATTGAAATAATAAAAATAAATCATATTTCAGTTAATCTATTTTTCCAGAGGAGTCAACATGTCCCAATGTTCCTTACAAGTCCCAATGTTCCCAATGTCCTTTGTCTTCATATACTTACTGTGAGTGAGATATCCAGACAAACAACAATAAGGTAGTTCAACTTTTCTACCAATCTTCTATAAATTTTAGGATCTACAACAGGCTTGCCTTGATTGGTAGAAATTTGACATTGGGATCCATCATAATGTAAACTGTTTTGGAATTTAATATTCTTGTTTCTTTTAGAATAACTATTTCGTAGTTTCTTTGGGATACAATGATTCCATTGTTGGACTGTGTTACCTCTATCCAAAGATATATTTTAGTTCACCAAAATCCTTTGTTTGAAAATATTAAGAAAGATGTTGCTTCACCTGTGCGATGCTAAGATAATCACTTCCCCATGATGATAATATCATCAATATAAAACACTAGATAGATGCAACTAGTAGGTGCGTGACAATAGAAGACAAAATGGTCAATATTGCTCCAAGGAATACCAAACTATTGAATCACAATACTAAATCTACCGAACCATGATCTGGGTGGTAATTGTTTGAGCCATATAAATATTTTCGCAATTGATAACAAGACCAAAAGACTCCCCTTGAGCAACAAAGTAAGGAGGTTGTTCCATGTAGGCTTCCTTAAGCAGATCAACATGTAGGAAAACATTCATTATGTCCAATTGATACAAGCCAATTTTGAATGGCAGCAATGGACATGAATTGTCACAAAGGAGGCATTTTGGCAACCGGAAAAAAGGATCCCCATAATCCATCCCATAATAAGAATATAGCCATTTGTGTTGAGACAAGCCTTAAGCTGATCAACTTTTCCATTTCGACAACAACAAACTTCCCTACTGGTACATCCAATCGATCATAGCTTGTTTCCAAACTGAATGGGTAAATGCTTCACCTACATTTTTAGGAACAAAACAAAGGACAAGAAAGAAAGACAATAATAGTAGGAACGAGAAACATGACAAAAATTGAAAGAAATATAATGAGGAAAAGAATTATGAGTAGAATGTGAACCTTTTCAAAGAGCAATGGAAAATTCAAATTCAAAAGGTAGGTATCAAGGATGAGGCGAAGGAATTGATGCAATAGGTAACTTGGTGTTGTTGTTAGTGTTATGTGGAAGCATTAAAGAATGATTATGATACTAATAAACCTGCATGAATGGAGGAGATGGATCGGGAGGGAATGGAGACTCCTTTAAAGGACAAAATGGAATGGGATAGATGCAGGTGTGGAAGGAGATGTCTTGGATATAGATGATGTAGGCCCAAAACTGAACCATGCATTGACAAAAAAAAAATACAGAAACCAGAAAACATACATGGTTTCTAAAAACATTTACACCTATGAGTAATGGGCCCACAAGGACACAGATTAGGTTTTTCTTCCCATTAGTTTCTTAGTATAATGTCGAGAAGAGAGAAAGTGAAAAGGCATATAATGAGTGTTTAGACCACAATGGAGCTATTCAATTTAGAGGGATGAGAGCTTAATTACAGAATATTCAGTCTTCCTATTTTAGACGAATAACATAAATATAGAATCAATCTAATTAATCATAATATCATCATTTGCTCCTAATATCATATCTATAGGATTCTAACATTCTAAAGCATTCTAACAGTATGTAACTGCATTATAGACTCTAGTCTACTGTACCTCAAGCGTGAAGGACGTGTTTTTCTTGTTGGCCAAAGAAATTGATGACTTCTGAACAGGAGGCAAGAAAGACCAAGCAATCCCCCATCGAAATGTCCTACCTTGGACAAATTCAGTTGTCTTCACTACAGAGACTCCAACCTCCCAAAGTTTTGATACAAGGTACTTGAGATTTGATTTTTTACCTACCATTGAAGTGAACCACCTATGAACAAAATAAAATGAATGAGCCCTAATTTATTACAAGCAAGTGAGGGTGTCTATGCACAAATAAAAGCAAACAGGAATGGCATTTGATAAACAAATAGTAATACCGAAAATGCTGCTTCAATTGTGTACTATCCTCAATAATACGAGTAATGAAGGCCTTCTCACCACCGGGGCAAACCATTTCATGAGAAGTCCCACCACAAGAAGTTCTGGGATTGAGTCCAGCTTCGTCCAAGCTTTCAAAAAATGGAGGATTGCACATGCAGAAATCAAACTTCTCATCGTCCCTGACCACACCAACAAGTATGGGAGGTCCATGATAATTCTTATTCTCGCAAGCAAGCAAATCAAGAGGCAAAGGAGCTATCTCCGTATCAGTATTCTTGCTCAAAGTTATCTGGTCACCGTTCATGGACCCTTCAATTTCCACACAAGGAGCACTTTCATTGTCTTGAACCTTTCTGATTTCAATCAGCTGAGAAATATGTGGATTACTATTGACATTTCTCTCTGCCCACTCAATTGCAACATCAGTCACATCTGCAATCAGTCATTGTAAGCAAATTTAAATATCAATTTTGACAACAGTTACAAAACCTAGACCTCCAAAAACTTAGACAGAGTTTCGTATTTTATTTTGTGAGCCCAAGGTATCCCAAGCCAAGAGGCGAGAACTGATCCCTTGAGATACTAAAAAATCCGTTGTTGGACTAACCCTCAAACATATGTCTTTCCATACATAAACTTGGGGATTAAATCTCTAATCACATTCTTAAGGGGCAATATCACACCATGTTGGTGTTCCTTACAAGCTTTTGGTGATGTCTTCCAATCAAAATTAAAACTGCACCTAAGTGAGCCCTAAACCCAGGGTATCCCCAGCTAATACTCAAGAATTAATCCTTCCACGCACTATTCATTTAACAGATTAATCTCTCCCAATAGATATCTTTTCAAAGAGACTAGAGATTGAATCCCTGGCCACGTGCCTAATGGACAAGAATATTATCTGCTAACCATATTACACCAAATTGGTAATCTTAGTGTGTTTTGACGAAATTTTCTAATCAAAATTAAAATTTCACCTTATAATCTATACAATCCTCCATTCGGAACATTGCCAGAGTAAAATTTTAATTTTAATTGAAAAAAACAAAACCAATTGAAGAGATACAGCTAACTTATGTAATTATGTTTAAAAATAAAACACCTGATCCTACAAAACTCCATCCATGGAGAGAAGCACCAAGAAGAGGGTAAATGCAACTAGCTCCAGTTCCTATGTCAAATCCCTTGACCCTGGCATCACTTGAAATAATGCGTGGAATGATGTCAGATGAGAGAAGACGTTGAAGCCAGTGAATGTAATTGCAGCGGTTGGGCACAGTGGGGCAGAGGTGCCCATCAGGAATCCACCTACAAAATTGATTCCATCAGCAACAATGTCAACAATTGCGGCAAGAGTGAGAGAGAAAAGCATCCGAACCAGGTCAGAGAGTGGCGGTGGTGGAGCAAGACGCGCGTGAGTTCGCGCATGGCGTTGAAGTCGGTCCAGTCGATGGTGGGGCGCGCGTGAGGAGGTGAGAATTGGACGAATGGGTGGAAAGAAGGGTAGAGAGAAGCCAAAAGAGCAAAGTCCGGTGGGTTCTCTGAATGCGCAGTGCCTTTGCTTCCTCGTTGTTCTTCCTTTCTCTTCCTCTTCTTGCTCCCACCCATGTCTCTCAATCAAACCCAGCCAAAAAGGCTATGCCGCCATGAAAATGCAAATGTGTAACTACAAAACAACGTTGGGAAAGGATAAATATTTGTGGAACATAAACAAACTTGTAGATAAATTATTACCTTTGAATTCATGCTCTTCCCCTCTTATTTCATATTGTATTTCATGTATTCCTGTCATGCTCTCGCCCCCTCCCCGGGTTCAAACATGCTTTGGATTTTTTTAAATCTAATTCATATCCAATTTAGATCCATTTAATCATATCAAATTAATTTTGATTTTTTTCAATTAACTTTAAAAGGATTTAATTTAAATCTATATTCATTTTATTAATTTAATTTAACGATATTTTTACCACTTACCTAAAAGATCAAATCCAATTAAACTTGATTTGACCTAACTTAATTTTATCTAACTTAAATTTAAGTTGACCTAACTTAATCTTATCTAAGTGAAATCAATTTGACTTAGTTCAAACATTTTAACCAACTCCATTAGGTCAAACCTAATTACCCAAATCTATTTCGATTTAACCTAATTAAACTTGGTTTGTTTTTACTCATTTTACTTAACTCTGTTTAATGTTAATTTTTTTATTTTTAAAATTAAAAAGAAAATCAATATATATCCCATCTAAATTCAATTAATTGAATTAAATTTAAAATCCAAAAATTTAAATTTTAAAATTTGCATTTAAGATGAATCATTAAAGTAGATTTAAATTGGATTTGAATTCTTTTCATTATAAATAAAGATATAATAATATATAACAATATAAATTGTGTCATAGATGCAAATTTTATTAAATTTTAAGTAATTATTTTCAAATAGAGACTTTTAATTTATTAGTATAAAAATTTATAACCATGAAAAAAAACTAATATGTTCGTATATATCATTTACAAAAATATCCTGGCTTTAACTTATATGCTACCTCATAATATTATTATCTAAACAGCCATCACTCCGTAACAAAAATTATTAAAATATATTTCCAAAGCTCAAGGTTATTTAATTGTGCATTAACAAGCTAAATATATTTAATTCTTTGAAAAATCAAATACCACCAAGGATTTGTATTTACCCAATTTTAACTTTTTTCTTTAATTCAATAGCCTATTTTAACCTATTATTTCTTAATTTTTAATTTTATCAATACAAAAGAGGGTATTAATTTGATTTTATTTCAATAAAAGTAAAATCAATATGAGCAATAGAGCTAAACTATCTAACAAAAAGAATTTACATGCGACTATGAGGCAGACATACGATGTATAAAACAACCCATCAACAATAATAACTTACATTAATCCAAATGTGACATACACATATTCATTTTACATTACATTACACTTATTAATATTTTTAAAGTACATAAAAGTTTCAATTTAATTCTAAAATTTAAATAAATTAAAATAAAATTATTGAAAATAGTTTTAATTTTCCATTTAAAGTAATTGTTTTATATTTTAATAAATCATATTTAAGAACTACTTTAGCCTAATTTAATGAATATATACAAATATATATATATATATATAAATAAATTATATTTTAATTATAGAAATCTGCCCGAAACAAAAAAAATTGAATAATATAAAAATTATATTATAAACTGATATGTTGGTAAAAAAGTATCTTAAAAATGTGAAAATAAATTGAATAATTAGGAATTAAAAAATATATACATTTTAAAGGACAAAAAAAATATTCAATTATAAATTGATATGTTGGTAAAAAAGTAGCTTAAAAATGTGAAAATAAATTAGTTAACAAATAGTGAATCCAAATTAAAAATAATCATAAATCATAATAAATGTTACTGAAAAGTTATTTTAAAAGAAAAGTGAAAATATAATTAAAATAATAACAAAATAAAATTAAAAATAATCATCAAGTAAAATAATAAACTATTAGGTTTCTTTAAAATAAAAACAAAAATATTATTTGACCATCCAAATAACCAATAGACAATTTAATACCATTTAGGGTTATTTTAGATTGTGTATAATCACTAGACAAAAAATACACTAAACCTTTTGTAGGAATGGGGAACTTGATAATAAATCTAGTTTTTTCATCTATATTTGTGCACTACATACTAATGTTTCAGAGATGTGGTCTTTAATTAATGGAACAATTTCTATGTGGAGCAAAAGCATGAATAAAGTATTCCAGAGTATGTACATCCTCAATCTTATTGGTAAATTCTAGAGGTATAAAAGGCTGTTTGGCCGTAGAAACTACATATAAAATAAGATTGGAGCAGATTGCAAAAGCTATGTCAGACAGCTCCCAAACTATGCATGGCAGAATTATACAAGGAAAAAAACATTCTACCCACTTTTGCTGGGAGAGCATCAGAATAAATTCATCACCAACATCAATAGTGATGCAATAGAGCCCGCAACAGAATAACAGAGCAAACTCCTTCTGATGAAAAAGAGAAGGAAACGATAAGTCATTATTCTTTCAATATACAATAATTTAATTAAATCTGTTACAGATACACATACACAAGGAAAGAGATGTCTAACCTCGAACGACAAGGTTGGAGACACGCATGGTGGGATCGCTGTGCAAAATTATCTCACCAAAATACTGGTCAACCAAAACCAAACCCTTCACTAGCCTCATGGATTGCAAGTAACAAACGTTCTTGAAGCTGTTCCTTAGAGGTATACTCAGGAAGGTCAAGTTGATTGAAGCTGAAGTTCAAAGAAGATATAAGGAATTAGGATGGCAGAAACTCAACATGCGGACATAGTAACATGGATGTGGACTGACTACATAGAATATTTACTCACCAAGTATGAGCTGATGGCAGACGATCAGGAGCTCCATATGCCTTGTGAATCTGAAACCTTTGCGGACCAGAGATGCCCTGCAAGGCCTTAAAACCCTCCAAGGGAACCTGAGAAACAATATATGTTACCAAGTGCATCCGAGGAGATTAAGTACCCCTAATAAAGCTAGTATTTTTACCCTGAGATGACACAAACTATGTGACAAGCACGCCAACAATATTAACCTCCCCAACACCCCACCCCCCCCCCCCCGTCCCCCCAAAAAAAGCCCGTTGGAGAATATATGACAACCGTTGGTAAAACTCATGCATTTGTGTTGCATACTTGCACATGTATAATTAATGGACAACAGTCACAACACATCTGGCAGAAGGCTATTGCATTTATGAAATCCATCAGAGACGAAATGACAACTTATAAATGCATAACTTCAAAAGTGTGCAAGAGCATATCAGAATTATTCAACACTAATCCTTGACCATGCATTTGTTATTCTCACAAGAACAGTTTTCTTGATATGCCCTATGTGTGGGGTGCCCTTAGCATGTGATTGAAATATTTATTTATAAGATGACAATTTGATGTTTCCATTAGATCACCTTTGATGTTCCAGTCACAAATTGCAGTAATCTTGCCATGTCTTCTTTGTTGAAAGTTTTAACCACCTCCCAGAACCATTGAACAACATTTGATGCTACTGTATAACCAGTATACTCAGTATTGGCCTTCAAGTCATCCACTGTAGGGAGAATAACACCATTCAGGTTCTTCATTGGTGATTAAAAATATAGTACATAATTTAACAAATGATTAAATCAACTCACAATCAATTTCAGGAAGACCACTTATGAGAAGCTCAAGCTCTTTGTCATTAAATATGGATATAAGTTCTCGTGGAACCAATTCATTAAAACCATCCAAAAAGGAATTAATTTGAGGGCGGATGGCATTTGTCAAAAGATGTTCGGCAACAAGGTCAACATACTCGTGCTTTGTTTCTTCTGTGACCCTTATGTTCCTTCCTCCGGGTTTAAGCTCATAATCAGTCACCTATATCAGAGTTTTGGGAGATACAACAAAAGCAAAATTGTAAGGAGAATTTGTCTGGAGTTAATATAATGAAATTAACAAAACAAATGTCAGATTAAAGCTTCAACAAGATTTTATGGAACAAATCTATTTTTATTTGTAACCTAGATGACTAAATAAGCCAAAATAAAATGCTCATTTACCTCATTCTTCTCATAGAGAATGTGTTTTTCCTCATCAGCATCCATGCTAAAAGTCAGGTCAGGAACATCACTCACATCATTCTGTTATGTAGATACAAAAATGAAATTAAACAAAATACATACAGAAAACAAGTATATTATGAACACAAATGGAATGATATGGACATGTTCAACACAGTAAGAGAGATCCAAATGATGGCTTATAATATCCAATCCTTTAAGTTTGTATCTTATCCAATTATTCCCATTGATTAAACTCCAACCTACTAGATAATTTAACAATTTCTGAAGTCACCATTCTAAATGACTTGCCAAAACACACCTCTCCCAGAATTCACTCTGTCTATCTCACCTCTCTATGATGAAGCTCACACCTCTCTCCCTCTCCACCCACAGTCAGTCTTATCCTACCAAATGACACTCCTATATGGCCTGGCCCTTAAGTGAGTGTGTTGCCAAAGAAAAATAAAGACAATCAAGTGTTAAATGTTGAAAATTGATACTCACCTCCAACATCCATTTCAAATTCTTATAGTAGTCAGGATCAACCGCTTCAATATCATGATATGTAACCTTAACACCCAGTATATGCTTGTAGAAAGATCGGGTAAAGTAAACATCCAGCAGTTGGCCATCAAACAAAGCCTTCCCCACCTGCATGTAAGATCAGAACAACTGTTAAAGATTGACAAATCACTCAACCTTTAACCTTAAGCTTAATATCTGTGCCATAGGCAGCTTTAACTATATATCACCCAGCAAAATAAAAGAGATTGGGGGGGGAAGGGGGGTTCTATGTTATCACGAGAACCATGTAAAAAGCCTTTGAAAAACATACCACTCGGCCCACAAACTTGAAGTATGAGAGATGTTCAGTCTGGTATACTGAATTAGGGTTTGGTTGGAAGGTTGCATTGTTGCCCACTGTTGTGAAAAGTAAAGCACCTTTGTCGAATA